GAAATTGTTATCTTTGTCAACGAATCTTATTGTTGTTTTCTTTTCTTTCTTTGGTTTTCATGTTTATAATAGCTTTGAGTACGTCAACAAAACTCCAATATTGCTGTTTTTTTCTTTCTGATGTTTTCATGTGTCATTGTTTCTTTTAGATGCTCACTTTTGTTATCATTATTGTATTTTGCAGAAACAGATCAGGTTGAACTCTCACATGGCAAAAAAAACCTCTCAAATAAGGAGAGATGGATGATATACAATGCCTTACAAGAGAGAAGCAATAATGGGACGCTAAAAAAAACTACAACACAAGATGTTGCTGATTTGTTCTCGGTATCTGTTCAGCAAGTACAACGAATTTGGCGACGAGCAAATGAAACATCATCTAGTGGTGGAGAAGTCAATGTATCCCACAAAAGATCGGGGAATGTTGGTCGCAAGAAAATCCCACTTGATTTGAATGAAGTTGTTCTCACTCCATTTCAGAAGAGAACGACACTTCGAACTTTTGCATCGGCCTTAAAGATGAGTCATTCAACGTTACATAGACGTGTCAAAGAAGGTACGATTAGACGCCACTCTAATGCTATCAAACCAAGATTAAATGATGATAATATCAAAAGTAGGTTGCGGTTTTGTTTTTCCATGTTGGAAAAAAATACTTTGGATCATGAACCAAAATTTGTTAATATGTACAATATTATGCATATTGATGAAAAATAGTTTTACATGACGAAGAAAACGGAGAATTTATTATCTACTTCCCGCTGAAAAAGAGCCTTATCGTACGTGCCAAAATAAAAACTATATTGGAAAAATGATGTTCTTAGCTTCGATGGCACGACCAAGATTCGACGAGGAAGGAAATGAGATTTTTTCAGGAAAAATAGGAGTTTTTCCTTTTGTTACGATGCAACCGGCTAAAAGACGAAATAAACATAGAGATGCCGAAACTATAGAGATGAAAGCATCAACTTCCGTGAGAAGAGATGATATAAGAGCATGTTTGATTGAGAAAGTCATTCCAATAATTCATGAAAGATGGCCGATTGAAGATCGGGGAAAGACTATTTTCATTCAACAAGATAACGCAAGGACACATGTCGAGTGTGGTGAAAAAAGAGTTTCAAGAAGCTGCTTGTAAAAACGGTTTTGTTATTCGTTTGATGTGCCAACCACCAAATTCGCCGGATCTAAATATTTTGGATCTTAGATTTTTCAACGCCATCCAATTCTTGCAACACAAGACATATCTCAAAACCGTAGAAGATCTTGTTCATGCCGTGGAGGAGTCATTTGATCAATATCCAACTACAAAGGTAAATCGCATTTTTTTTACCCTTCAATCATACATGAAAGAAATCATGAAAATTGGAGGATCGAATAAATAAAATACCACATATGAGAAAAGATGCACTTGAAAGAGAAGGACGTCTTCCCCTTCAAGTAACTTGTGATTCTTCATTAGTCCAAAGCGTGAAGAACACATTGGCATCGTTGGGTTGAAGTGATTTGTGTTTTTCTCTTTTTCTTCTGTTGGTTTTTTAAGTTTTCGTTGGGTTGAAGTGATTTGTGTTTTTCTTTTTTTCTTCTGTTGGTTTTTTAAGTTTTTATTTGTTGTGTTTTTATTTTATTTCAACTTTCAAGTACTCGTTACATGTTATGGTAATTTCATTTTAACTTGTTTTATAATGATACCAAACCATGAAAAATGAAGACATTGATATGAAATTAAAAGAACAAAAAGATTAGAAAATGTGAAAATTTTATATTCCACATATTTATTACAAAAATCATTTGCAACATAGTACTATGAATTCATATCATGATTTTATATGAATTCAGAAACTTTGTGGCCAATAAAGCTTGTACATTTCCAGTATGAAATCTTCAATCCCTCTGTCGGGATGCAATTCCCCGACATCATAGAAAAAAGACTTGTTCAAGTCGAAATCGCGGTCGACACGATAATAAATCTTGTACATCGGCATTTCTTCTTCGCTTTTCTTTTCTTCCATTTTAGTTTTGTAACTTCTCTAAGTTTTATGAGTTGAAAGAGTGAAAAAATTATTGGATTATATAATGGATCTCATAAAACTTCATTAAATTTTAGTCTTATGATATTAAATGGCCACTGACTTGGAACAATAATCTCTTCAAAATAGTATCTTAAAGTTTGAGCTTTTTGACCAAAATATATCTCAATAATACTCCTAGTATAAGGGTAGAAACGTGAAACAATTTTAATTTTTGCTAAGGAAAATGGAAAAATTATTTAAATCGATACAAAAAAAAAGAATTGCCTAGAACATCATTTAAAATTATATAGAGAAAGTATCATTATTTTGTCACACTCGGATTAGTTTGTCTCGTTCGGATTAATTGATGTGGTTAATGAGTTTACGATTTGGGATATTTATTTATTTTCTACTTTTCGTGTTTTAAATACTATAATGGATAATTTGACTCATATAGTGCTAGACTAAAAAATTGATATGATTCGTTTGTAATTTTACTCCCTTCCCAATTTTACTTTGATGTTTAGTTTAAATTTTATAGTTGCAAAAATATGTGATTAAGTGAGATAACTACATATTAGTATATGAATTAAATTGATTTTCGTATTTTGTTGCAACTATTGTAAATTACATTGATACTATAATTTCTAGGTAAATTTTTGTATTGATATGAATTATTGAATTGTCTTGTTATTGGTACGAACTCATAGGCATTCACACTTTTTTCTACTGGTTTGGTTCACGTGTGTTTCATGTCATTACATTTTTTTCCATTTGCTCACTAAATTAACTGCGTTCATTTTAAATGTGATTAATTAATGCCGAAGGAAAACCAAAAAGTTTTGAATCCACTTTAAATGATTTTGTCGCATTCGGATAACGATATGGGAGGATTAATTATTTTGTGGCGTTCGGATTAGTTGGTGCGGTTAATGAGTCTATGATTTGGGAAGAAATTCATAGTAT